TGTGTGTGTGTGTGTGTGTGTGTGTGTGTGTGAGCGCTCCCCTTCCCACTGAGTGTTTTCAGAGCGATCCTATACTCACTGGGAGTCCTTAGGTCCTCTGAAGCTGAGGCAGCCAATTTTGTCACTGCATTAGCAAAGAAAATGGTGCATTTTTTTAAGTTCAGTGCTGCAAATTCGATTCTTGTTTTCCCCTAAATGTATATATTAAACTATTGGTTCATATTGACATCTTAAATTACATTTAACATAGGCAGACTAAATATTTTCATTTTTCCCCAATAGAATTAATTCTGTAGTGTCTTTTACAACCCTTATTAAAATTTACTCGCATAATAAACAGTTTGCTTAAATTAAAAGTCGTTTTGCTTTAACAAGTGCCTGATAACTTGCCCCCACCTTTTGTTCTTACACTAAACTTTTGATGCTCATATCCACAGTGAAATATGTCCTCACCATGTGTATATGTCCTCACCATGTGTATATACTCCAAATTTAGATCACTGTGGCTTAATATAGACACGCTGAATGAATGCAGCTCCAAGACATTATGTAATAATAGTGAGTTTCTTGCGTGGGCACAGAAGGCTATTTTAAAGTCATAGAGATGAAGAGGATTAAGATTTCAAAACATGGGAAGGATGTCATGTCTTTTTCARTCTATTCTGAAAATGTGCCTGTGTAATTGTTTTAAATGTCTTTATGTAATGATTTATATAATGCAGACATCCTTCTTCTGTTTGGTCCCCCGTTGTGCAGTGAAGAGGGGACTTGTAAACACTCTCCCCTCTGTTGGTTTGAATGTAAGCTTGTGAGCTTGGTAACTGGGAATGTAAGTGAGTTAMCAACTTCTAAATTGGTGTATGGTTGCATCGAAATGTAAAAAAGCTTCATGTCAAAAACTGGGTTGCCACRTCAAAATCCATGATGGCCATTGAATATATTTATTACATTTACAAATATTGGGACATGAATGTAATTCTYATMTTTTTGTCTSTAAACACCACAACGATGTAGGCCTATATTTGTAGTGGAGCAAACGAGATGTAATTTAACTGCAGATTTTCAGCTTTACTTTGAAAGTATTTACATCCAAATCAGGCGAAATGCCTACAAATAACAGTTTGTAAATGTGCCTCCCGCTTTTGCAGGAACCGAAAGCACTGGGACAGATTATCAATCATAAATCAAACTTTCACATTTTAATATTTGGCTGCAAATCATTTGCAGTCAATTTAATCCTGAGGTYTGGGACACACAGACATCAACAGACCCTGGGTTTCATCCCTGGTGATGCTCTGCCAGGTGTCCATACTGCAACTGTCTTCAGATCCTGTTGTTCTTGGGGCATTTTTTGTCAGTTTTGTCTTCAGCATGTGAAATGCTCAATCTGATTCAGGTCAGGTGACTGAGTTGGTCATTGCATTACATTCTGCTTCCTTGCCTAAACTCTTTGGGTGCTTTGGCAGTATGCTTAGGATCATTGTCTGTCTGCACTGTGAAGCATTGTTTGACGAGTTCTGAAGCATTTGGCTGAATATGAGCAGATAATGTTGCCCCAAAAAACTTCCAAATTCATCCTACTGCTTTTGTCAGCATCACACGCAAGTCATCAATCAGGAGCAGACTTCACTTGTGTGAATTCAGAGGGTCAGAGTATTGAGAAGGAACTGSATGATCCAAAACATAGCACCTCATCAGTGGGTCATGGAGTGGCTGCCAATGGAACTGGTTCCCTTGTATTTATTGATGATGYGATGCTGACAAAAGCAGCAGGATGAAACTGGGAGTGTTTCAGGCAATTATTCCAAATTATAGTTAAAAAATACCAAAACAARCCCAGTTTATACAAAAGTTGGATTTTTGCACCACCAGGTTGAGTCCCAAAAATCTGTCCTTCCAAAGCCTCAGATGATTACCAGAAGGTTTAACCATCAGGGTCCCCCCACCCCCACAAAAAATAGATGCTGTATTGTTTTTCTTATGTTTGTATTATAATACCAAAACTATATGGACAAAGCTGCCATTGGCTCTTGATCTCTGCAGGACCATTTTAATGCTTCTGCAAACAAAGGTGTTTCAAACACTTTTATGCTTCCAACTGTGGCAAAACGTTCAGGAAGACCCTTTTTGATTTCCATGTGACTCTGCCATAGTGTGTAAATTAAGATCTATACTGTTTGATGAGTTGTGTGTGAAAAAAAAAAAACTTAACTGTCCCAGAAACCTGATCTTAACACCAGTTATGCAGAAATGGAGACTTTGAGACAGAACTTTTTGTCAAACATCAGTGCCTGATCTCAGAGATGCTCTACTGAATGAAGCTGCAGGAAAACACATTTTAGGAAAGAATTCCCAGAAGAAGGGAAGCAGAGCTGTGAAAGTGACGGCTGAAATTAAGCCTTTAAGTATGAATGGGTATTAGCCTAGCCAAACCAAATATTTCATTCCTTTTTTTCTTTTTTAATTTGTCATCATTTGTGTTTGTCAGTATTGCTTTTAATCTTAAAAGCACAATCAAGGACTATAGGTTTGCACTGTAGCCTTCRGCTGGACAATTCCGTTCAAAGCAAAGGAGATTCGTTGATTTTTGTCCTTGTCAAAATAATTTTTAAATAAAGTAAAAGAGACCAACTTTATTTTAAAGTATCAGAATTTGAATACAACAATGGCCAGGTGTGGCCCAATGAATTTTAGTGGAGTTTGTTTTCAGGCTTGAATCTTAATTTGTCTTTTGCTTGTCCACTTTCTTCACTTTTGTCAAAGTCACACTTCACAACAAGCTAAAATATGGCATTTTTTTCTAAAAAAAAATATAAACCACCTCACTAATACAAAACAACTTTTTGTTCACCAAACCTTTCTTTATTTGATAGTGTTTTGAAGATGTGTCTAGCCTAGGTATGAGTCAGACAGATGTCTGAATACAATTTAAAATGAGTTCTGTGTAAAGACCTCTGTTATTGTCAAAAGATTTGAAAAATCTTCAGAATAAGTTTCTTTTTTAAAAAACTGGTTCCTCTATTTCTCCTCACACTCTCTACAGCACGAGTCATTATCTCTAACTGCAGTACTTTATGTCGTTGCTTAATTAAACCTGCTCATGTAGAGTACAAAGTAATTATTTCCATCATTAGTTAATCTGATGGTCATTTTCTTAAGTGGTCAGTTGTTTAGTCCCAGAATAGCATCTCAGGCTGTGTGACTTGCAAAGAAAATCTGAAAACTTTCAAAGAACGGTCATATAAAATATGAAACCTTTGGTTTTGCCTTTAAAAAACAAACACTGTGCAATAAACGAATAATAAAAAAAATTACAATCTTTGATCAACAGATTATTTTAGTATTTCCTAATATGTCTGTAGCCTTTACAGATGGTTTTATTTTAACTCAACATGCAGTATGGTTTTTTAAAGCAGGAGGTCTCAGCGTGAATGGTTCAGTTGGTACCATGGACAGTTCCCCCTCAGTCTGCCACTTTCCTCAGTGTGCTGATGTCCTCAAATGAAGAATTTGACACGTTTTCTCACATTCAAAGTGAGTTTTGAAGAACAATTTT